CGCTTCTTGTTAGCACGGATGGCCATCTTCGGCCGCCTTAGCAGCTTCCTGATGCCTGTGTGCAAGGATGCGGGCTGCTTAAGGAGTGTATTTGTACCCACTCTGTGTTTCATGACATTACTGGTAAACTGTTAGGATTTAGCAAGCCTCTGTCTTCCGGAGCTAACAAACTTTTCAATATTGAGTTAATGCTGCTACAGCATCTCTCTGCAGTTTCAGCTCTCACAGTCATTTTAAAGTCCTGCACTACCACACAAAGCAGAGATTGGTTGCATGCTAAGAAATACATCTTACAGGATTTTCGGACAGATTAAATGAAGCAGTACATGTCAACACCGACTACGAGATCTGGCATGTATTAGGCTGTTAATGAATGTTGTCTATTTATGTGATTACTACCAGTTGGTTTATGCTTTATGAATCTGGGGAAGTTGACATCATTACGTATGACTTATTTGGAAAGTATAACATGATACTCTATTAATTGTTGGCAATTATTTAAAAGTATATATTCCAAGCAAAAAATTCAAGTATTTCCTACAGGAAAAAAATTGCAATAACTATGTCCCCTCTTCAAAACAACCCACAAAGTATAAATCATTTATGGAAGAGAACTGGTACAACATTACGGGGACTTGCATCAAAAAAGTGTTAAAAGTATTCAAACACATTACAAATAAGATGCTGTTTTATTTCCTTATTTTTCGTATATCTTTGGGTTTTTTCCTTTTAAAGAGTGTCAAGTTCTTTTAAAATATGCCTTCAGGAATTAAAGAATGACTATTATATAGGCTTTGGGGGGATCCTATTAGTGAAAATGCCTATAAAGAATACAGAGAGGTGGACTTTTCTAAGGAATCAGCAAGACTGATTTCTTACATGGGGACCTGAGGATCCAAGAAAAGAATGGAAATGAAGAGAGCAGTAATTATGTACCTATTACCTAATTATTGGTCCTCTACTGAAACTAGAAGCTGAAAGTACCCATGGAATGATTCTTTTCACTACATAATCACATGCTTTGTAATGAGGCTGCCTGCAGATAACTGAGAACTTCTTGCAGGAAAATTTGTGAGTTATGATGCCCTTAAAAAATAGTGTATCTGCTATGGAATCTAGGTAGGCCCTGAACTGATGGATAAGCTGAGCTTGTATCAGCTTTTGTCTTAAAAGAGAAGTAAATTTTGTTTAACTGTTAAAATTATGAACTGCTTGTGAATAGATGCTCTAAAAGAAGCAACTGAGCTAAGACTGCAACCTAGTGGTCAATTGGTAACTGAAAAGAAGTAGATGATTTCATTCGAGGCCATGGTAAGTGGGGCATTTGTTTTCCAAGTGTGAAGGAACAAGTGAAGAAGTGTGTTTGGTTCTTTCGAAGATGGTTCTTCAACCATGGTGGGGGTGGGTGGGGAAAGGGTGCCTGTAACTAGATCCCTGGAGGTTAATTTTACGTAGTTTTTCCTACTTTATTTGAAACTTCATCACCTCCGTCTCTTGAAAGATGATGCCCTTGACAAGACCACTGTAGTTGACTCACACTAACTTGTTTTGTCAGTTCCTCTTTTATTTTTATGATTGAAGAAGTTCAGGCCATATTCTTCTCTAATTCAGGCAAGTTTTTCCTATGACATGATTATAAATGTCATTCTCATTATTCTTTGGCTCTACAACAGTGTTCAGCTTTTTAAAGTTTGATGTAATCTTTATTCCTCACAAATGCTTTTTACTAATTATAATAATTCCACTTTACATTGTATTGTATAAATATGAAAGTTCATTGACATAGTGGTACTCAGATATTATTCTTTTTAAGATAATCACTTTTTACATGAAGCAGAGAATATTCAAAGAATACATCTGTATAAGAATTTGAATCTTTTAATTGTTGGATATGTTAATCTGTTTTTGTTTTTTCTTTTGGGTACCGAGGATTGAACTCAGGGCCTTGTGCTTGCGAGGCGGGCGGCAGTACCTCTGAGCTAAATCCCCGGCCCATTAATCTGGCTTTTAAAATCTACTTGACCCTTACCTCAGTTTTCATTTCACACTAATCCTTTTTAAGCTTAAAATTGTTCAGTGTTTCTTGATTTTTGTTGTCAAATCATTTTTGTTCTATAGCATTCTAATTCTTCACTAGCTCACATTAACTTTCTTTTCGTATAGTTTTATTTTACCTGTAAAGATGTCTCTGGCTAGTGTGAGTCCTTGCTTTAGTGATCATGGAAATTAAAAGTAAAGTAATGGTATTAATTTACAGGCAAAAGGTTTTTTGAAAACTAAGAGAAAATGGTAAGGGACTTTAGCTTAAGGACCCAACAAAGATCAAGCCAGCCCCTTAACAAAAGAAAGTAAGAAAAAATAGGGAAAGGACTCCTGCCTGAGTAGCTGGCGGAGGTGGGTCGGGGGCACACTCAGATAAAGAGGACCAGGCTGACCCATCCACAAAAGAATGGAGACTAGTTTTAGGGGTACTGTGGTCAGTCCTAGTTTCGTAGCTCTGGAGAAATCCTCATGACTTGAGGGGCAGTTGAGTTTCTGAGACGATTGTTTCTGCTCAGGAGGATGATCTCATCATGGGTTGGTCTTCAAGGCTTTGCTTTCCCTGGACTCCAGGTGTTCACAGATTCAGGACCACGACTAGAGACTTGAGGTGCTGCTGTGGGAGGGTGTCTGAGCTGGACATTGTGAAAGTTGGTAATTAGATGTCCCCTTAAAGCCTGAAAAGTAATTTAGTTACTCTTATCTTGATGTCCTCAGACTTGAAGGAAGATGGGTTAGGCTTGGTAAATTTAGGGCTAATAAAGCTTGCTTTGCTACTTTTTCTTAAATGATTAATATACCTACATCCAAAGTTTTAAGGTAGTAATGGATACAAAATGAAGGCCAAACTTTACTTTGCTTTTAACTATCTATTGGGCATCCACAGGCCCAAGTGAAAAGTCAGAGGTTTTACAAAAAATAATAATAATAATTAAAAACTGTTTTAAAGTCCTAGTCTGCCTCAGAAGAAAATATAAATCCTGCTTTTATTGAGTAACAGGTTAAGGGCCTAGGAGTTAGTTTATCCTTGGTCTCTATGATGCCCTCTGATCTAATCAAAACAACCTGTGGCTTTTGTTTCTGCTTGTTCTTCCCAGATCTTTTACCTCCCCCACACACAAAGGTTGGTGCTTAGGTGTGAAGCCTGGTTATTTTGTATGCAGTAAAATCAGTCCTGTCCTTTCATAAGGATTATCAAAAGATAACACTATTAGCTTTTAAATTCCTTCTGCACTTTGGGTCTTCCACATTTAATTCAAGTGTATTTTCAGAAACTGTCTTAATTCTTTCTAGCTTGCATACCTCCAAGTTTTGGAGAATATAAATCCTTAGCACTGCCAGCTGCAGATGGCTCAGGCTTATGTGACTCACTGTGAACTCGCTGCAGGGAGCCCATCCCTGGCAATGAAATGATGCTCTCTGCATAATTTAGAGGATTCTCTCCAGTGTTACCCTAATGAAACTTTTGGATCCTCTTGTGCTTTTAAAAACAGCTTTCTGCCAAGTACAGATTTTTTGGACTTGATTTTGGATTTGATCTAGATGAGGTAAACCAAGAAATCAGCCGCTCTGTAATCGATTCAGAAGTCAGTGTTGGAGCAATGTTGAAACTGTCTCAAGAGCTTTCTCTTTTCGTATTCTCTGTGTATGAAAAAGACATTGAGATGTTTGTTAGAAAACCTGTCACACAAACACCATGGTGCATAATGTGGCACTGCAAAGGTGGTTTTTACTAAAATGAAAATCAGTGGAGTAGAATCTAAGTTCATGAATGCCATGCTGTGGGGAACAAAATAAATGCTCCTTGTATACACACACTAAATTGGAATTTGGAGGAAACAAATTAATGAAACAGCATGACTGGTCTCAGAACTATAAATTTTCAATAGATTACTTATATACCATTATGAAAAATACATGAGATTTTAATAACCTAAAATCTTTTAAAATAATTTTTAAGCCGGGGATTTAACTCAGTGGTTTCGCCGCCTGCTGCGCAAGCACAAGGACCCGAGTTCGATCCCCTGTACAAAAAAAAAAAAAAAAATCTTAGGGCTGGGGATTTAGCTCAGTGGTTCCGGCGCCTGCCTTGCAAGTGTAAGGTCCCAAGTTTGATCCCCAGTACCAAAATAAATAAATAAATAAATAAAATAATAATAATAATAATTTTTAAAATTTAAGGAATACTGTTTCATGTCCTTCCTTCATAATAAAAGAATATTCATTTGTTGATTAATTTATTCATCATTCATAATAAAAGCTCCTGCATACATAATTATTCACTAGACTAAGTGTCTTGGTTATTTTCCTTGTTGCTGAGACAAAATACCCGATGCCCACAAGTTAATGGAGGAAAGGTTTATTTAGCTCACAGTTTGTAGCAGTTTCAGTCCACAGCTGGCTGGCTCCAAGGCAGGGTGGCATGGCAGAGGGGAATCGCAGAGGAGAAAAACAGTTCTTGAAAGGCAGAAGGCAGCAAGCGCCAAGCAACAAGTGACAACCCTCTTTCTGTCCCTTATATCTTATCCAGGCTACCTGCCCTTAGGATGGGAGACCCCTAATCCTAACCAGAACTATGCCAAACCAATCAGTAGACTAATTTATTAAACACACATTCTTAATCCCAGCATCACACTCAGCAGCCAGCCACCTCTAAAAAAGCCCCACCTGTGATTGCATGAGTCTTTGGGGGGAAATCTAGACACAGGTCATAATAAGAAGTAACAGAATAGGATGTTAGGTAAGGGAAAAGAAAGCAAATAAATTTTAGCCCACAAAATCACAGATTTGGTGACACAAGAATGATTTAAAAAAGTATTTAAAATGTAGATACTTCTTACTTAAATGGTAGATGTGAATAAAAGACATCAAAGGAATTCTCTCTCTCTCTCTCTCTTTCTCTCTCTCTCTCTCTCTCTCTCTCTCTCTCTCTTTCACTTTTTCAAACTATCGGTACCTGGTGAGAAAGCATACACTGCTCATTTCCGATGTATCTGGCCGAGGGCATGCAGGCTTAGTGGAAGTCAGCTGACCACAGACCTGGACATCTTAGTGCAGCTTCCCACAGCCTCAGAGCCCTGCAGCTGTTTGCTCCACCTCCACAGGTAAGACCTTCCAGATCTTTTTTATACCAGGGACATACATTGCTATTTAGAAAGAATCTAAGCAATATGTGAGCTATTGGGAAAAAAATGAAGACATCTGGGACTTGTAGTTCTCAAGTCAAATTCAACAACAAGTTCATTCAGAGGGACAAACAGAATGAATACCCAGATGTCCATGGTTGATGTCCAGACACTAACTTTTTGCATCTTGGAAAGCCCATTTCCACTGAAATACTCTTTCTTCCTCCAACTCCATATCCCCAAATCACTACCTAGAGCAGTAGGTCAGTGAGATAGAGAGAAGTGAATGATGAATTTATGGATAATAGATCTTGAACAAGTTTCATATTTATACATTCTTAAGAGAGGTGGTCAATCTTAGAGTTAAGTAAATGTAGCTCTTAGAGTACTACAAAGTAAAAAATATATGTGAGAAAAGCACCATAAAACTTTATTCACCACATAAAATCTGTAAGAAGAAATTATATTCAAATGTTAAAGTAGAATATGAATAATTTGTGAATTTAAATCTAAGTCAAACCATTCCAAAAAAGCAATGTTTACTATCATTGGAGTTGTTTTTAAATTGAATTATATTTTTGTAACCTTATGTCAATATTATTTTTATTTTTTAAATTCCTTCTTTCACTCACCCCTCCTCCAGTAGATCCAAATGTCCATAACCAGTGTTTCCTCAAAAGCATAGTGCATACACTGCTGATGCAACATGAGATGTGTTCATCAGGTACAAGGAGTTTTTTGGGTTTTGTTTTTGTTGTTTTGCTTTTATGGTACTGGAGGTTGAACCCAAGGCTGTTACACTGAGCTACATCTCCAGACCTTTTTTATTTTGAGACAGGGTCTCACCAAGTTGCCCAGGCTGTGCTCAAACTTTCAATCCTCCTACTCCTGTCCCCCAGAGTGCTGGGATTATATGCCTGTGCCACCATGCCCGGCTAAGGAGCTTGTATCTGTATAGTCAGTTACTTAAAGTGATTAGGAACAATACAATGAAACACATTAGCCTGTGAATTCACAAATACAAAATTAAAATAAATGCATTTATGTGAAATGAAGCAAGTCAGTTTAATAAAACAAGGAGACAAGGGTACAGGTACTATTTGGCGGCGGGGGAATATGAGCGTGATATTCACTTTAATGTGGGTAATACTGTAAGGAGAGAAGCTCTGATTCTTAAGATGAAATAAGCATGTCAGTCTTGCAGTGGTTTGCATCGTGACAGTCCCCAAAGGCCCCGTGTATTGAGGCTCGGTCCCCAGAGTGGTGCTGTTGGAAGGTGGTGGAGCCTGTAAGAGATGAGCCTAGCAGGAGGTTTTGAGGTCACTGGAGATGTGCCCTTGGGGAGAATGTGGGCCCTAGCAGCTGCACTCTTCTTGCTCGTCCTCCCTCTCCTTCCCCTCCTCCCCCGTCCTCTTCCTCCCTCCTTCTTCTTCCTCTTCCTCTCCTTCCCTTCTTCCCTCCCTTCCTCTTCCTCTCCCTCCATCCCTCCATCTCTCTCTCCTTTCCTGGTTGTGAGGTGAGCACCATTGCTCTGCCATGTGCTGCCTTACCACAGGCCCAAGGCAACAGGGACAGTCCACCATGGGCTGAAACCTCTGAGAGTGTGAGTAAAAATAAACCCTTTCTGTTTATAAGTGATTGATTCGGGTATCTTGTTATAGTGCTGGGGAGATGACAACACATGTCTTTTTCCTCCAGTGGATCAAATGTCTCTTTAAGAAGAGAAGTGGGATACCAGTTTACATGGGTGTTGTTAACATTATTTAGGGCTTTCACAGACCTCATCAAATCAAACTGATACAAAAAATCCACTGAGACTTAAAATGTAATAAAAACAAATTAGTCCAAGGAATCTAAAAATGCTTGGAATGTACAGAGAATATTTTTACAGAGACACTGGATGTTGTAATAACCAAAAGTATTTGGCTGGCTACAGGTGGATTGATCTGAAGTCATAGAAGGCATCCAGCCTCCACTCAGTGACGTCAGTCCTTTTCCTAGACAAGAGGAGGGTGGGGTTCAGTAACTCTGGAGTTCTCATGCTAGCTCTGCCCAGGCCTGGTGCCGTGACCTCGCCACCATGCAAGGTAAGGTGCACAAATGCTGCATGTTCATGACTCATGGGATCTCTTCAATGGGTGTTTTATACATGTATGGTTTTTCCTCTTACATGGATTTGTCATGGACACCTGGTATGTTTACATATCTGCTTACATATGTACATGTTTATGAAGTTTATGTTACATATGCTCTACAAAAACAAAAGAAGCCAAACAACAAAACCCCTCAACACAAAAATGTACAATGGAGAAAAATGTAAGTTCTTTTTTTTTTTTTTTTTGAGACAGGGTCTCACTTTGTAGTTCAGGCTTGAATTCACTGAGTATTCCAAGCTGGCCTTGAATATGCAGCAATCCTCCTGTCTCAGCCTCTCAAGTGCTAGGGTTACACCTGGAAGTAAGTTCCTAATATTACAACTACCTAAATGTAACATACCAAACTCAAAGACTATGAGTCTTTAGAGGCTTTTTGTTGCATGCCTACTGAGGATGCTACCCAACAGATAGTCATTGTATACTATGACTGTCTCTTTGAGTTTTGCAAAGAGTACCCTACCATATGTGTAGATTCTGAGCTTGGTAATTTTTTATTGGTATGACATAAGTAAATAAGAATATGTGTACATAGTTACCAAAATTGAAATCAAGTTACACATAATGTTACAATTGTCATATTTTTTGTCTGTGTAGAAGTCAGTATATATATATATATATATATATGTCAACTGGCATATAGTTGGCCTCTGTATAAATCAGTACATGTGCATCTACCTCAATTTTTAAAGGTCACAGAACATTCTATTTTGCAGTCTTATAATTTAATCCCTTATTTATGGATTTCTAAATTATATTTAATTTTTTGCTATAATAATGTGGTAACTGAAAAATTATATGTTGTAGTGTTTCCCTCTTTTATGCTAAAATATTTCCATTATAAAATTGAATGCATAAATTATTTGTATAATTAAGATATATATGCAATCAACATAAAGATGACTTTCTAAATATCTCTATAAAAATTTGATAGTCACCATCACTTCAAACTCTTAATATTCTTGTTGTTATGGCTTGTGTCTAGATGTCCCCCTCAATGCTTCATGTGGTCATTGGTGGAGCTGTTTGGAGGTGGCTAGATCCAGAGTGTATGATGTTGAGATCAGGGATATAATGCTGGGATTGATTCATGGTGCAAAGATAGGATTAAGGCTGTTCCACCTTGGATGTGAGTGCTACCTACCCTAAGGGCAGATAGCCTAGACAGACTATAAGGGACAGAAAGAGGGTAGCTTGCTGCTGTCATTGCTTGCTGCTTGCTACTTTGCTGTTTGCTACTTTGCTGCTTTGCTGCCCTCTGCCTTCCATGAACTGTTTCTCCTCTGCGATGCCCTCTGCCACCCTGCCTTGGAGCCAGCCAACTGTGGACTGAAACCTCTACAAACTGTGAGCCAAATAAACCTTTCCTCCTTTAACTTTGGGTGTCAGGTATTTTTTTCTCAGCAATAAGAAAAAGTAACTAAGACACTTATTTTCAAAATTATGTAAATGTTTGCCATATACCATGATTATGTTTATGTTCTTTAAGTATATCATCTCATTTCAATTTTTTTTCTTCCTTCAAATAACCAGTCCAAACTCAGAAGTGCCAACACAATATTGAAAAATTAAAGAGGTGATAAGAAGAAAGTAATTCATATGTATGTACCGTATTCTCCAGTTAGTTCTTGAAAGGGCGCAGCATCTATTAAAACAGAGGCAATAACACTAGCAAGTAAACGAATAGAGAGGGAGGAGATGTGAGTCTTGTGTCTATCACTGTTTTCAAGGAAGCCCGCAGTGAGCAGTGCCCTCGGAGAGCCTCCACGGATAGGCTCGGAGAGACAGGCCTGTCTGAAGAGAGCTGGCTCCAGGGTACGTGGCACTGGGCACAGGCCTTCTCTGTCTTTCCTCCCCTCGTCAGGGCCCTCCTCCTCCCTGAGGCCCAGCCCAGGCTATGTTTTGTCTCTGGCTGTTACTTGGCTCCTTCAGAGCCCTCTTCTACTTTTCTGCCTATATTTGTCCTTTTTGTACAGGTTTAGACTTGGGTCCTTGAGATATGGTGAGTTAAAACAGGAATTGACTGTATGTAGTCCAACCTTTCACCTTGGAGATGAACAAGTAAAATCAAGGGAGGCTACCCTTGGTAGCCTTGGTTACACAGATTTTAAAAACTATTTTGTAACTAATATTCTGTCATCACTCCAGACATTTTTCTCTTGCTTTTCTACTGCAACCTCCCGTCAGTTTTTCAAAGAGGGAGTGGAATGATTGGTTACTAGGTTTAATGACCAATTAGTTACAGTTGCTGATTTGCAGGCTGGTAGCATAATGCTTTGTGTAGTCTAGGGCATTTAAATTTTAACTGGGGGAATAATTTAACTTGAAATGTTTCCAGTAGTGAAACTGGAATTTAGATGTTGGGAACAAATACTAAAAAGGAAGATACATGTGGGATAAGGTAAATCTTTGTCTTTTTATTCATCAGGCTTCAATATATCTTGGTTAGGTCCAAGTTTCTAATTGGTTTCTAATATTTCAGTACATAATTATAGCAGTCATAATGCACAAAAGAGAGAGAAATATTGTTAATTTTGTTTTCCTGCCCTTGTTTAATATCTTGTTTGGATTCTGGTGAAATGCTAGGTATATGGTGCCCCACATGGTCTTCACATGATCCTCTGAAGACAATCCATCAAATGACATGCTTGGTTCTGTGGCTTTAGGGTGTATAAAGAGTGAATGCGAAGGACTTGACATCTATTTTTTAATTTTCCTGATCCATTTCATTCTAGGACCTTCTGAAGAATCCTAGCATAAATCACAAGCCCTTAGATGGGTTGCTTCAAATCTGACTCCTCAAAAGTATCTTACAGAGATAAGACCCAATATAAATGTAGCTTAGTAAGAATACTTGATGCACAATAGCCATTTTCCCTAAAGGCTTTGGTGCCTGTCAATATTCTAGTTCAACTCATCTTTTGGAAGACTCAAAGCATCCACTCTGCTGCCAAAAGTATTCATTGAAATGAATGTTTGTGCCAAAGGCTCATCAAACACCAGAGGACTCTCTTATTTACTGCCACTCTGTTTCTGATTTTGTTTTCTTCTCTTCTTGCTATGGTTTGAGTGTGGTCTACTTGTGTTCCCCTCAAAGGCTCATGCATTAAAGGTTTGGTCCACAGAGCAGCATTAGCAGGAGGTGGTGGTTCCTTTCTCAGGTGGGCTCAGTGAGGGGTCCTTAAGTCAGCTGGAAGGCTTCCTAAGAGAATCTGTGAGACCCCATCTCTTTCTGCTTCCTGCCCCAAGATGTGGTCATTTGTTTTTCCACCTTTACCATCAGCTATTTGCAATGAAGCCCTCGCCATAATTGAGTCTGTGCAATCCATATCCTTGACCTTCCAAAACACATATTAAAAACTCCTGTTTATAAAATTAGCTGCCTCAAATATTTCATTACATTAACACAGAGCTGACTAATGTAGAATTCCTGAATTTTCTTCTTCCTCTCTTCTTACTCACTTCCCCATATTTTATTCTATTTTTTTGTCTCATCTTCTTTTTACTCCCTCTGAACCACAAAACAGGGTTCTTTGAAAAGATATGTGAGTGTGGGTTTGCAGGAAGGTGTTAAATAGAACAGAAACCATATAGTGATGACTTGAGATCCTATTTGATGAAAAAGAAGGCGAAATGTGGAGTTGTTTTTGTAAATACATAAATGTTTGGCAGCATTTTGAAGGGAAGGCCAGAGAGGATTTATTCAATAGTAAATAGGCTTTAAAGTTCCTATAGTATTAAGGTTTTTCCCTAGGGCTTTAAAAATTATCATTTTTAATAATAGAAATATCATAACTATATTTATAGAATTAAGTAATTTAGGTACATGGGGCTTTTTAAAAATGTTACATGTTTAAGGAAAATTTGGAAAGAGAGACAAATGTATATTTCATCCCATCAACCAAACTGTGTACTGTTAGTTCTGGTAATTATTCTGCCAGTAATTTTTCTAATGCATATATTTTTGTCTTAGTGATCTGTAACATGTTAATTTAATTGAAAATGTTGTAAATAAAGAAAATGGAAAGCTTGTGTCTTAGCCTTTTATTTAAAATGTGACTTTCCATCCTGTTTTCATAAATGTATTAAAAGTTAAAAATGAGAATAAGATCTAAAGAAAAAGTATGTACTTAGCTAGGAATTTTAAGTTTACAAAGGACAAAATGTTTAGAGTTTAACATATTAGAAGAAACTTTAGTTATTTCCAAATAGTAAAAATGTGCCTACTAAGAAAAAAGACTTAAATACATTTTCTCTCTTTATTATTTTATCTTCTAGGAGAATTCCTGGGCCCAATTTTCTAGTTTATGCATTTGTTCTTTTGTTGTAACCATTCCACTCTTTAGTCTAGCTATTAAGTTTTTGTAATTTTATCAGTTAATGGTTTTAGTACTATGATTCATTTTGTTTACTCTTTTTCCTAACTTTAGCACCCTCCTTCTTGCTCGATAATTTCATACTTTAAAACGAAGACTTGTTTACAGTGTCCAAAAATGTATTTTCTTCTAATTGTGTTTGTGACTCTTTCATAACATGGTGGTGATGTTTCAAATACTTGGTGATTCTTGGTGATGAGTTCATCTTTGTTATTAATAGTCCTTGCTAGAGTTGCTGGTGTCTCTGTTTATCCTCCCCATACAGGTGAAGAAGCTGCTAGGTGTGCACTTAGTTCAGATCTCAGTAAGAGAGAGATTGTAAGATGTGCCTTTCTAACTGTATATTACAACTTGGCTACTTTCTGTTCATCCAGAGCATAGCTAGACACCTATGGTTAAATCTTATCTTTTTTCCAGTACCATACAAATGTGGAGTTGGTCCTAGAGCATCTTTCACTTTATTGCTGCAATCATCTTTTTGCTGATTATTTTCCTAATGGCTCTTGCATATGTCCTAGGTTACCATTTTCCTCCTGATCCAAGTCCTTGTATGTTTTC